GCAAAGCGACAGAGCTGTTCGTGTTGTGTTTTGACCAAGGGGGGAGGTGGCTGTCAAATACGAACAATCGTCGCCTACCTCGCATAACTGGTTCCAAACGAAAACAAGCCATAAGAAGCCTACAGCGTTTGTTTACGTTTGGAACCAGTTTCATACAAGATGATCAGTAGGCTGATTTGACAGCACGTCCCCCCCCAGGTTTTGACGCCTTCGAACGCAAGTGGACTGATTCTAGTGAGGAAAAATGGACACCGAAATCGATTCGAAAAATCTGATTGCTCTCGTTTTTACGAGAAAAGCGCTGTGGGACAAAACATTGAAACAGTACCGGAACCGGTTGATGGTCGATAAGCTTTGGCGACAAGTTTCCTGTGAGCTGGGAGGAGAGGCAACAAGTAAGTGTAAATAGTGATTTATTTCATAATTAATATAATGCCACTGAAATAATTCCTCATCCGAACCCACAACCACGAAACAGAAATGGTAAGCGAGGTGTTCAACAGCAGCTGATTGACATTGAAGCCCGGAAATTGAGACTACTGGAAAAAAGGCTAATAAGTCTAGTGCTTGTGACGACGATGAGGATGAAGCATTCTTCAAAAGCCTCCTGCCACATGTGAAAAAGCTGAAGCCAAGAGAAAAACTGGAATTTCGAATGGAGATGCAAAGTCTCGTACACAAGCTTGTCTACAAGGACAACATAACCCAGGATGATCCGAATGTGTACAACATTCAAAGTTCTACGCCGTTGCAGAGCCATGCACCATTTGCTGAGTTTGAAATGAACGCATCACAGACATCTTGTTCATATCAATGTACTCCACCAATGCAACAACATGATATTATCACAATAGAGTACCAGGACGTCCCGATGACAAATGAAGATCAGCGCTCCACCATAATTTCCACTGAAAGGCAATATTACTCAGTGATTACATCACCTATCTCCAGTGTAATCTCCCAAAAATAGTTTTGATTTTTGAACAGTGCATTTATTTTCAACTTCAATATGATAAATACATAAGTTCGAAGCGATTTCAAAGCTTATTTCTGTTCATAAAGTCTTTGAAGTAATTACGTACAAAGCGTCCAGTTTTAGTACATATTTTGAAACATGTGTTGTTCGCCGTCTTCTTATTACCTCCTTCATTCAACTCAGCGGCCTCCTCCAGTTGCACATCGAGTCCTTCATGGTCAATGACGACATTGTGAAGGATGCAAATCGCTTTCACAATATCATCGGTGAACTCCTGTCCTGTTTCAATTGGTTTCCACAGGAGCCTCCACTTTGCGGTCATAATGTCGAACGCACACTCAACACTCTCAATGCTCTCGATAGTCGTGAGTTGAAATATTCGAGGGATTCAGTCAATTGGTTTCGTGGGTATGGGCGGATCAAATTTCGTATTAGTGGATAGGCTTCGTCTCCGACAAATACGTACGGCATTTTCAATGTAAGTTCCTGATCTGGCAATGGAGCATCTGGTGGGATGTTAAGTCTTCCTTCGGTTAACAGTTCGTACATGTTGGAGGCACTAAACGTTCCAGCATCGCTCTGCTTACCGTATCCACCGACTTCCACCATCAAGAACCTGCTATTGGCGTCTGCAACGGCTTGTATAACGCTTGAATAATATGCTTTATAGTTGTAGTACATTGATCCGGAATTATCTGGACATCTGACTCGAATATGTTTGCCATCAATAGCGCCGATGCAGTTTGGGAAATTCCATTTAGTCCAATACTCATTTGCCACCGATCGAAACATTTGCTCAGTTGGCACTGGCATATAAATCGGCTGAAGAACTTCCCATAGTGCTTGGCACGTTTCTCGGACTACGCTAGCAACCGTTGATTGACCCATACGGAATGAAAATGCGAGGCTAGCAAAAGATGATCCTGTTGCAAGGAACCTGCAAAATAAATATACAAGGTGCATTTGAATATGATGTTGTTCCAACAATCAAACAATTTAAATCATACCTGAGAGTAACAATCAATCGTTCACAAGGTAGAATCGGTTCTTGATTAAAGTTGGTCCAGTCTTTTATTATCTTGTTTGTCACTAGATTCAAAATCACATCGAATGTGTCCATATCCATTCTTGTGTAAGACCGAAACTTCTCTGGATATTTACGAAGATCTTCGTACAACCTGAAGAACTCCCCATCTCGCCTTCTATTTCGATTGATCGGGTGAACTGCAAACTCTCTTTCGTTGTTGATTATGAAATTAATCGTGCTTGAGGAAGCGAAATATTCCTCATCGGATGAATCCATGCTGAATAACAAATTTGAACAAATATTTTGCACTGCGCACGCGACTGTAATGTTTTCAAAAACGCTTTCACTATGTCATAGGTTGGTTCAGTGTTCACTCGGCTGTCGACAAAAGCAGGCCACTCTCGATGTGTGCTACGCGATCCTCTGTTTTCTCGGCAGCAACCATTGTGTGGTCCTCCTCATTGTTCTTCATCAGCAGTTCTTTCGGTCGATGCGTCGTCGACTTTGAAAAGCAACCGTTTCGTGATGAGTGTGTGAGTGCTGACCACATTTTGCGTCCATTGCTGCAATGGACGCGCTCTGACCCTCGTTGGCGTACAACAATTTGCCATACAATGAAACCACTGGAAGCGGCTCCAGTTCTGATGGAGGAGGCTTTTTGGATAGCGGAAGATAAAGTGTTTATTGTGTTGTACCTTTTGACTATAGTTTTAAGATGTATTGTATAGTGACCTAGAATCCTCGGCTCTGTAAAGTTAATTCGGTTGAGCCTTATCAAATAAATTAATAAACATGTCATAGGTTGCTTCGCTTGCCGCTGCATTTCGCTTTGCCAATTGCTATCGCATCGAATCGCTTCGAATCGCTTCTACTATGTTGTCGGCCTTTAGCGATGCAACTCCCACGGCTGCGGCTGCTTCCAATGCTGCGGCTGCTTTAGTTGCTGCTGCTTTAGTTGCTGCTGCTTTAGTTGCTGCTGCTTTAGTTGCTGCTGCTGCTTTAGTTGCTGCTGCTGCTGCTGTTCCTTCTGCTGTTCCGTTTCCTCTAAAATTCGTAAAAAAAAAGACGGACCAGCAGCAGCATTGGAAGCAGCCGCAGCCGTGGTAGCTGCATCGCTAGTTCGTGTAGCCAATGCCCGGAAACCTCGGTCAGGTCAAGATACCGCTGTTAGCTGTTCTTCGTCTGGGAGGAAATGTGGATGCGACTGCCGTCACGGGTTTAACGATTTTGAGAATCCATGGCGAGGCTTGGTGAAGATTCACGGTTGTTTCGAAAATAATTTGACTAGGAGTGGCAACATCAATAACATTTTGACACATGCACACTGCGCAGGCGCAGAACAATTTCAGTGTTGCCAGTAACTTTAAAGATAATAAAAATTGTAACCATGGTTGCCAAAAAACGTCAATGACTGCACCCGGGTGTGTCCAAGTTTGATTTTGGCACACTGTGTAGAGTGACCAACCCCTTGGATTTGGTTGACTTCGGACTACTGCGAGGCATCGTCATGACATAGACGTTACTAATAATAAATCTTATATTAAAATTTGTAATCACAAGGAGCAAAACACACTATTTTCAAATTCCGTTCAATCTTGGCACGTTGCCAAAAGCGAACGGTTTTGTGATTTTGCTGTTAAGTGTTAATAAGTAGGAACGAACTCACCAAATGAATCCATGAGCAATGTCAACAGAATGAAATTGCATGGCGCTACTGGTACTTTCATGGTCCACCTTTCTTGCTTGAATCAGAATGATATCCACCTGGTGCTATTCAACAGAATTAACATGTTGCCTCTCCTTGAATACATTCTGATTCCTGATGATTCCTTTTCTTCAGGGAGAATTTTCTGTAGTCCTGTATCTGTAATCTTTTTGTAATATTCACATTTTGATCATCCAGATCAGGTTCAGCTAATATGAAATATCACTAAAAGAGTCCCCAGGATCAGCCCTTGTGGTTCGCTTCTCCGTGACGTCGTCGCAAACGAAATAACGTCGGGGGTTTACTGAAGGAGTTTGTTTTTGGAGCTGCTGCCCTCTGAAGCTCTGAAAAATAACTTCATGACACGGGTTTTGTTGAGAGTCATGGAAAGACAGTCTCAAACTTGAATAACTTTGAAAATCACTATCAGATTGGTTTTTTTATTTTTTTTAGAAATATGCCGAAATCGTTTCTCCGAAAAAATCACAGCAAAGAAAATGCACGTCAAACTTGTTCAAAGGCAGAGCCTACTCCCTGGCTACTTTTCTCGTGGTTCTAGAATTAAAAATCTCAAAATATTTTTTTATTTCAAAGTTCGAGTGGTAGTAAACGTTAATTTAACTGCTCGAATCAAGTGGTTAATTTAAAAAAAAATATGATGTATTTAAAAAATTGTCATGCAATTACGTATCAAAACGTCATTACCATTTTCACCAACTCGCCATCTGTGAGTGTCATGTAACCAGTTTTGGCTTTGCTTTGGTTCGCCAATTGAAAGTGATATTTTCAATGAAACATAACACTCATGGTTAAAAATGCCCACAACAAACAGCACCCAACATGTCACATAACGAACCATCTCGCATTATTTCTTCGATTCCGCAACCAGGTGGCTATCCGGAAAAGCTTTTCTGCTTCGATGCTTCCGAGGATGCTTCTAAAGCACCAATTTCAACACGCAAGCGCTCAAATGAGCCGACATCAAACCACCACCTATACAGTGAAAAACAGTAAATAAACTACAACCATACCGACGTCTAGTGTGATTACTGAGAACCAACACGGTTAAATAAATTCTCGCCGGCTAGTTGTAAGCACTTCAAAAATTCTACCGAAAACAAAATCTTCACAATATTCAATTAATGAGTTTGCACTCACTTTTGGATTATCTCGGCAGTAAGCATAGATTATTTCACGCTGCAATGTAAAACCGGACAGTGCTCTAGTGTAGCGTGAAGCAACCATTTAGGCGATTGACTCTTTAACACGATTCATCTTTCTCACACTTGTAGGCACCGGCCGCTGCACGAGAGATGTGGTCTCAATCTTCCTGGCGGAATTCTGTGGCACGGCGACGCTACTCTTTCTGGGCTGCATGTGCGTTGTGTCCGGATTTGGCAACAGTCCGACTAATGTAGCCGGCGGCATAGGCTTCGGATTCACGGTTATGATAGTCATTATCATATTCGGACATATCTCCGGTGCGCATATCAATCCCTGCGTGTCGATCGCGGCCGTTGTCTACGGAACGCTGAATATTCCGGTAAGGTACTTTGAATGGTTTCCAATAAATCAGAACATTACTAACTAGGTGATTGGAATTCAAACAGATGTTCATCCTGTACCTGATTGCTCAGTTTTCCGGCGGAATCTGTGGCTATGGGCTGCTGATGTCCGTTACTCCGATGAAATATTTCGCTATGGCGATGGAAACCGGAAACGGATCATGTGCCACCGCCCCTCACAGTGACCTGAGTATAGTGGAAGCCTTCGGTGTGGAATTCTTTATAACTGGAATTCTTGTTTGGACTTGCTGTGGACTTTGGGATCCCCGGAACAGCAAGTTCGGTGAAGACACACCGGTCAAATTTGCACTGATCGTCGGTGGAATTTCCATTGCTTCAGGACCGTACACCGGTGCTAGTATGAACCCTGCAAGAACGCTGCCTCCGGCTATTTGGAATGGGAGCTACAAGGCTCTGTGGGTATGTATGATCTGCTTCTGGTAATCATTTTCCGTAACAACAAAGGACGGTAATACTTTCAGGTTTACTTCATTGCACCACCATTGGCCGGATTGGTAATGCCACTGATCTATAAGTACGTCTTCCGAAGGGAGCCTCTGCAGGAGGAGCAAACGGCGGTTCAGCTTAACAGGAGACCCGAAGATATAAGAGCTCCTATGTGTGTGTGTGTGTGTCATCCTCTATCCCTCACCCAGCCGGGGGCGTTGGACAAGTAGAACTACGAATAATTTGATCAAATCTAATGCTTCGTAATGGTGCCTTTTATACTGTGAAGACTAGTACTTCAAAAAGGGTGTAACTTTTGACGCAAGACAGGGAGTCCTCAACAAGTTAAGGGAACAGGATGCACTAGATGTCCACAACAGGTACAGCAAAACATCACATAGACGCCCTTATTCACACTAAATACTCAGGGGGTAGAAGGTCAACAAGAGCCACCGCCGCCAACTAAAGCTTGAGCCGGGTACCTGGGACTTCCACGATATACCCGCGGCAATGGTCAGCAGACGATACCCTGTGCGTCTTTAGTATGTAATATGTTTTATTTGGATACACAAAATGTTTGAAGCCATGCGTCATCTAAACCATAATTTGTATCACCACAAATACACTTGTCAACAATCTTCAATTGGAACGTACTCACCAAATCACTTCACCCGAGAGTGCATTCCCGATGCTTCCACGCATATCCCTAAACAATTCCTCCTCCAGCGACTCCAACCACACAACAACCAAATATCACTTTTCTTCGCTTTTCTTTTTCAAGTCACAAAACCCTTACAATAGATCAGCGCCGTTCTCATCACCGCCTAAATAAACTGAAATTAAAATTTTCACTCGCACACGGATAACCGTCCGGGAGGCAGAGTGCCAGCGCTTATCCGGCAAATGCAGCTGAAAACTATGAAAGCGAATGCAAGCAAAAACAGAGAACAAACTTAAAACACAACCGTATCCAAAAGCGTTCGAAACTCGACCTCGAAGATATAAAAGCTCACATTGCGGATGAAAAGGTTCGGTACTAATTCAACAACGACTGGCGACCAATTGAAACGTTGGCAGCTGCTATAATATTATGTTAAGTAGCATAAAATATCGTGATAAACTAGAGGTAATCTATTCTCATAATGATGATATTGGAAATTATATCAACTTAAGGCTACACTTTACGATAGGCAAGCTTACTATTTTTAAGAAATATTATTATAAGAGACCATATTTCAGATCATAGCTCAATTTTGTGAACTATTTGATGGAAATAAAATAAAAAAAACAACTTAAATAAATAATGTCAATTAACACTCCGAACACGATGCCTCCGATAAAATGAGTAACGGCAAACATGCAGTGTTTGAAAAATCATCAAGTCAGTGCCAACATTTCAAAGGGGCGTAATTACTTTTGTAAACAAAGGCTTTAGCCGTCGATTTCTCGCAAATAAAAGCTCACTCCTCCAAATTAACAATGCTAGCTGGAAGAGGAAACATTCATCTACCTGTTGGTGCAATCAATTTTCATGAGTGAGCTTTTATTTGCGAGAAATCAACGGCTAAAGCCATTGTTTACAAATGCAATTACGCCCCTTTGAAATGTTGGCACTGAAGTAGTGAAGAAGTGTTATAGTGGAAAAGAGCCCCAGTACTGTCAAATTAATGTTATACCCACAAGCAGCTTGTTATCCATGGCTACCCGAGCAAAGCTGGAGATCAAATTGAAATCAGAATTTGCTGTTATGATGTAACTTATTTTTAATAGTCCAGTTGATCTCATTTTGGTTGACTTAACGGTAAACATTGTTGAATCAAACGGAAAACTAACGTTGCTTTCAATGAAATCAATTTGATTACTGATTTTGCATTCATAATGTTTAACTGAATATGGGCTTGGCGTAAATGATTAGTATCCATGCTTCTCACGCTGACAGATTTGAGCTCAAATCTCACCCCGGGCAAGTCATGAATGACCTAAAATATGTTAAACAAAACAAATAATTATTATACATAAACGACAGATAAACTTATATTAAAATTTAAACAAGACGTTAACAGCAAAACTTCAAGTTAAGTTGCTTTCATTTGAAAAGTTTTGACTGCATAATGAAAGCACAATATGATATCAGACTTATGTCGCGACAATTGAAATCAAAATAAGTTTTCATTATGATAGGAACTGCAAACTTTAATATCGATTTGCTATCATTTTGTTAACCGGCTTTGCTCGGGTAATGTATCATTGATGCATGGACCATTGTCAAGCAATGAAGCATTTGCTGCGATAGTGCGATTAGTGACGTTTAACTCACGCACACTAGCGGGCGCATCGCCGTGTAAAGTTGTTTATTATTTTCCACTGACTAACCTAAAAAAATATGAAATTAGATCTGTTTGGGTTTGAAATCAATTTGTTATGTATTTTCCTCGCATTTTCACTAAAATCCTCTCAGATATAGCACCAATACAACCGGACGTAAAAATCTCTGGATCTGCCAGTGTAGCTGCTGCTGCTGGACTAATAGCCTCCTGGATATATGATTCTACTGGACATTGCTGCAATCTGTACCTGTTATGCCAATCGCCAAGAAGAGAAGTGATTTCGAGTTCATATTTCCATCGCTGCCTCCTCCAAAATGTGGGAGTGGGGTATACGAGAGGTTGAAATGCTAAATATTCCTTCGTTTACATTCCTTGAAGATCATCTCACGATGTGTTTATTTTTCAGTGATGCGATTAGTTCCAAGATTTTGTTATCCACTAATTTTGAGTCTGATTGTTGAAAAAGAGAGTAATGGAACCGTAAACTTAGCCGGCTTCAGCTCGCCAATTAACTGCTGTAGGATCAAAGGTTCCGCTCGAAGACAACGTTGACAATGCCGAACAACCTTCCGTGCATGATTCCTATCACCTAGCGGCCAATATCACTGCCAAAAAGTAGTGCAGTGTTACCGTGATACTATAGAACCAGTTCCGAGAACGTACTTCGAGTCAACAAAACCATCAGATGTTTGGTCGTCTGCTGTGTTTCTTCAGAGTACGCTAGTTTACCACCAACTCGCAGGCTTCCGTGTTCGTCACTATGAGGATTGAATCATCGTAAAGGAGAATTTGGACGAACTGGAGCATCCTCTGAGAATGATTCAGATTGTACCTTCCGGATGATCGTCCATTCGGCTTGGTTAAGAAGAAAAACTGTCCATCCTTGGTCTCCTGGACACCGTAAGTTGTCGTGTAGCGTAGTCGGTAAACAGTCATTTGAATTAGCCTAGTAAGAGAAATTTGCTAAGTAATCCGAAATGTACCCATATAATTTCGACAAAGCGCAAACCACCACATTGCGTCGTCTCTCCTATTCCTCTTTTGGCCAATGTTCGGGCGGATCCTCCAACCAGGGCATTCTCGATAATGTCTTGGATCAGCAAGGTTGGTGATTCCCAAATCATTCTCCAATCGTTTCCCTCTGTCAGCGCTTGAATTTTGGCGACCCTGTTCGCCACGTAATTTCAATCGTGTTAAGCATTTCTCTCGTGGAATGTTCGTCATTCCTCACCCACCATTCCAGGTAGGTTCAATTGAACAGCTCAACCCACCCAGTTTCGCAAGAACTTCGTTGTGCTTGGAGTTACAGTTTACCGACCATCCGATTCCCTTTCGACTGTACGCTCGAATAGCTCCTTGCAACGTGTCTCGCCCGGCGGGTATTTGCTGACGGCTCCCACTTCCTTGCAGGACCAAACCGTTCCATGGACTTCTCCAGATCGTTCGATACTGACATGTTACAAGCATATCTCGTACCTTGGCTTGATGTAGTAACTTCGCCTGTCACTATCCAACCGAAAACTGATTCGGTGAGTACTGGCAGACCGGTTCCCAGTGGAATCTCTCTTCCGGATGGGAAGAAGCTGAAGAAAGCTTGGATGCCCATGACCAAGTCGATCTTTCTCGAGCGGAAGAATTCAGGATCTGCCAGTTCAATGTCTTCCGGTATGTCCCATCCATTTGCCTGCACTGTAGAAGTAGGCAGACAAGCTGTGACCTTCGGCAAGACGAGAAATTCCATCGTTCGAGAGTATGACGAGAACCGTGACTTGACGACAGCTTGGATTTTGCGATTGACTCTCGTTCTGGTTTGTCCGATACCCGATATCGAAACATCCACCTTCTCACTAGCGACCTTCATCAGCTGACTTAGATCTTAAGAGATGAAGTTGCATTCCGACCCAGAATCCAACAATGCATGTGCTGGATAGCGAGAACCCTAGTTGTCCTCGATCACAACAACTCCTGTAGCCAGAAGTACCTGCGATGTAGGATGCTGTGCCGAGTTCGACGATGCTGTCTCAACCCATACTCGCATCGTTCAGGTTGGTGCTTCTATCCGAATTGGCTGTCTCGGGTGATCCTTGCCTACTGCTTCTTCCTTCGCCCTTGAAGCACAGCAGTGTGTGGTGACGAGCCTTGCAGTTTCGATACGAGAACCTTGATGAGCAATCTCGAGCTAGATGTCGTCGTTTGAGACAGTTTCGGCAGAGCGACTGTGCCCGAATGAACGACTCCCTGCTGGACAGCGACATTTCCAGGAATGCTGGACACGTATGTAGTCCATGAACCTCCGTACACGATGGGCACGGCTGCCGTTTGGGTTGAAGAGGTTCGTATCTGGATTCATTCTTTGCTGGTAGAGACTCGAGGATCTGAATTCTCCATTGAAAAAACTCTTGAAAGTCTTTCAGCGTGTCTTGCTCCTTAGTGGCCGTGTGTTCCTCCCAGCCACGTCGAACTTAGCAGTTCTAACAGCAGCAAATCCCTGTATTCGGCTCGTTCAACGATTTGATCCAACGTTTGCATCGCACGATCGAATCCATCAGCCAGTCTGTGGAGATCCGTGACCGATTCCTTGATAAGTGAAGGCAGTTTCACTAGCGCTTGCACTTGCTTCCTCTTCAGTAGCTTGCTGTTGATGTATCGTTTTAGCAACGACTCCCAAGCAATCGGATAGTTGTTACTAGTGATCTTTAGCGGATCCACTAGTGCCTTAGCTTCGCCTGCTAAGCAACCATTGAGGTAGTGGAATTCTCCACTTCCGGAAGATCTGGCTTTTCATGGATCAGAGACGTTTTGAGGTCCCTGAAACTCAGCCAATCATCGATGTCACCGTCGAAAGTCTGCAGCTTGATTTGCGGCAGGCGTACACGGTCCATTGTATTATGTGTACTGGCGGCGTCCGCACTACGTGATGACTGGTTTAGTACTGATTCTTCCTGGAAATGCTTGGCCTTCTCCATCAAGAACGATTTCGCATCGTAGTAGCGATTCTGCCATTATTGCTTAGTTTTAGTAAGAATAAATGTAGTGTTGTAGTTAATAAAATCAATGTAGTGTTCTTGTAATAAACGGTATTTTGTGGATAAGACGTGTTGTGTTCTGCATGCGAAAAAAAGGATTGGTCTACGGATGACAGAAGGATTTGGTTGGAGCAAGGAAGGATACGGACTGGAAAGGAAACGTTCGCCGGGCAAGTAGAAATTAATATCAATCGGTCGGAGCCAGTGCAGACCTAAGTAGTGGAAAAGCGAATGTAGTAACCAATATTTGAGCTTCGGCTGAACATATACCGTTCGGTGTGCAGCGACAGTGCAGCCGAATCCAAATTGCCTCAAAATCACGATTACTATCCTCTAGTCACGAATGTATAGAAACGCAAGATCGTCTCGATTGTTTATCCAGTTCAGCGACGGAGAAAAGTACTAATGTAGTATCACAAGAGAGTCTGCTTTTGGCAGGACATATACTTATTCTCACCTGGAGAACTACAGATGGTGCTGAACGTCACGCAGAATGTAAACCAAACTAACGCTTGTCACAAATCGGTTGTGGCAACTTTTATACAACTTATATCAGTCATAAACAAGTTGCTGCAACTTATTGTGACAGAAATGTGCTACTCGGGAAGTAGCAGTCCGAAAACAAACAATACCTCAGGGCTTGCGTTCGTGAATGAATTGACTCCAATAGTCCAAATAGCATCTAAAGGTTGAATTTATTTAGGTGCGGCATCAATCAAAATCCAGCTTCGGCTGGGCATATACTGTATATATGTATTTACCTGGCCACGATGACCGTTGCACGATGCCCGAGCCTGAAAGCTATCGTGTTACGTCGTCTGTCCTCTAGTCGTTGAAGAAATCAATGCCTAATTCGTCGTCGGTTGTGCTTGTTGTGGTATGAATCCCACCGAACTCCAAGGAAGGTGCCCGAAATCTAGTTCTTCGAAAACTG